TATGTTGGAAATGAACTTTACAGGTTGGGTGGGGGAAGTGGGAGAAATGATGGAAGTGGCAACAATAATCAACAAGGAATTTACTCATTACCTTACTTAGGTAACTATCACCCCTCTGTACATCCCATTACAATAAAAGAAAAAAAATAGGGTCTTAGGAAGAGGTGTTTACATGGTCTCAAAATGTCTCCTGATGGATTGTTTACTAGAAAACAAATAAAATAAAATAAAAAACCAAGAGGTATAACATAGAAAATCAGACATCTTGACTGAATCATCAAAACTAACATTACCAATAGTTATAACTCCAGATGCTATATAACTTCAGACCAGTATTTCTAACTCTAGATAACACCTATGCAGTATCTGTCTAGAAACACTTAACCACAATACAACCATGAAAAACATATCAAACAACCTCAAATTGGAGTGTTTCTTTGGCTTATCTATAAAAATTCTACATATCACCCTGCTTACCACAAAAAGTACCGAAACTAGAATGTGCATATATTCATACAAGCATATAAACTTCAGTAATCAAATGTATCTCTCTAAGAGTAATATGTTTTAAGGAAAAGTAATATGTTTTAAGGCATTATCAAATAGGAAAGATTTCCACTTAATATTTACATTTATTTATTTTTTTAAAAGCCATCTTCATGTTATCACATTAAAACTTAAATGTTTACTAAGTCTCAGAAGCATAAATTTGATTTTACATCAACTTTATTCTCAGAGCAACCTGTGTGAATTAAAGCCTCACATTGCGAACTGTTGTAGTAATCATATTCCTTCTTACATGTACCAAAATCTCCTATCAGCAATGAGTTCTGGGTTGCAAAAGAGGATTTACTATTTGCACCTGTCTGTAAGGCTTTGTTACAAATTAAACAAAGACATACACAAGTGCTCTTACATTTATTTTTAATGCTAATTATAAGAAGTTTTATGGAGTATAGTGTGATGAGAGGGAAAAGAAAACTTGGTATAATTAAAGTATGTAGGAATTATTCAGTAGAGAAGAAAAATGTGTCCCTCAGTTTAGATTCAATGTGACTAGACCACTGTGGTCAGTAACATAAGCGGACTTATTCTCAGGTCATCAAGCTAACTACTGTGAGAAACCTATTTTCTTCTATTTAGTTAGGTGTGGCAGTCGCAGGATGATAAAACATTGCAGTTATAAATCATTTCCCCAGTCTTTGGAAATCATGTATGTAAAAGGCTTCCTGAACAGTGGATTTCTACTTCTCTACTCACTTTGCCTTAACCCCAACTGAAGTGAAGTAACACTTTGTACTCAAGAAGTGGGAGCATTGATGAAGAGTAAATAATTATAGGTAAAGAAGCTACTGAATTGTAAAATAGTCTAAAATGAAAAGCTTTTGGTTTAACTTGTGTTTTCACAATCTTGTGTCTAATATTGCTGTTGCTTCCCTATAAAAATATATGGTAACATACTACTCATTTTCTCTTATTTAAAACTCTTGATCTTATAGTTTATACTTATATCAAGCAGTTTTGAAAAGTTAATTATAAAATAGCTTGATGGTATTAAATATGCTATGAAGTTTTGAGGAACTCACAGCGACTTATATGGAACTCCTTAGGATAAAAAAAAAAAAAACAAAGGTAAGAAGAAAGCTCTTTACGCACAATGAATAATAATTTCCTTATAGTTTGAGAAAAAGTTATATCTCTGTGGAAAGTATGTTATGAAATAATAGCTAATTATGATTCTCTGCGCCACAGATGGTTTCTCACTGCCACTTGAGCCTACATCAAGTCTGTCCCCTGTGGCAACAAGGAGAAAACGGGAGGGGGGGGGAGGATGAAGTACAAGACTATTGAGATTAATCATGAAAAGTAAATTGTTAGTGCAGAAACAATAACTACATGGAGTGTGTGTGTGTGTGTGTGTGTGTGTGTGTGGTGTATAGATTTGAAAAAAATTAAAGCTGAAATATAAAACAAGACAGAAAAAGAGATAAAATAAGAAAGCTCTTTCAAGGCTCAGAATTTTTCATCATCTCAGGGATAGTCCTTCAAAAATGTAAAAGGAAGTTGCTAGTAGGAGCAGAAAAGGATAGGCATCAGAAATTTAGAATACTCCGTATAAATTCATGGTGCTTTACTTCAGTGGTTTCAACACAAGTAAATTCCTTACTGCACTGATTTTTGCTTTCTTCTTACCTTTGATCAAAGGTGTTTTCTGTAGTAGAAAAGCCATGGTGTAGGTTCACACGACAAAAATGATTGAGGGTTTTTTTTTTTGTTTTTTGTTTTTTTTTTTTGTTGTTCGTTGTAGGGCTTGAACTCTGGACCTGGGCGCTGTCCCTCAGCTCGTCAGCTCAAGGTGAGTGCTCTACCACTTGAGCCACAGTGCCATTTTCAATTTTCTGAGGTTTTTTTGTTTGTTTTCCAACCTTCTTCTTGATGAACTTTTTGGTCTTAGCAATATAAATTGCTGAAGTCATTAGGATATAACTTGATCCTGATATAGTCTGGGAACATTTTAAATATGACAATAAAATAGAATATCTACAGAGGATGGTGATGAACAAGGCTTCCCAAGACCTAATCAATAGGGAATGAGAGGAACTAGAATTTTATCCTGAGAACATTCAGATTTTTTTTTGCTATCCATTGGTTTTGACATCATAGAAAGGAAAGCCATAAATCTACAAATGAAGATTCCCCTAGGAAGCCTTTATGAGAAATGAGCGGACATGACATTGATAGTTACCAGCCTTCTGGAATAATGGCTCCATTTGAATGGTACATTACAAATTTTCAGTATTAGTCCCCTGCATTTAATATTGAATGTTCTAATTTTCTCCAATTGGAGCGCCTGATATGTTACATAATTTAAACGATTTTCCCCATTCTTACTTAAATATTTCCAAAATATGGGGATTTTTGAAGGATTATTACAAGATTTATTCTCAATCAACCTTTCTCATCATTGCATCATTATAGAGATGACAAGCTACTAGTGAAATTCTGAGTAATTATTTCCTATGTTATCTGGCATTTACCTTCTCAAGAGTGTGCTCATTATATTTAATTTCCTATTCATGACTGCATATTAGTTTCAGAAAGCATTCCTTTCACTAAGAAAACTACCTTTGCAACTGTTTCTGTTGTTTTAAATGAGATAAGTTAGCATCTTTTATTATTAAATCATTTTACCTTAATGGACAAAAGAAAAAAACACTTTTTCCTATAATTTATAATAATAGCATTACATTAATAAAGTGACAGGCTTCATGAAGTTGGTAATGAATTCAAATATTTATTTAGTAAAAAGAACAAAAGTCCAATATTTATTTGTTAAGCAATGAGATGGTTGAAATGGCCTGATAGGAACTTTGACAGTGACTAGAGTTTGAGGTGAATGTTAAAGAATAGACCCTTTGTAGTCTTGCTGTTTTCTGAGCCCTTCCCTTTCCCATCCTGGCTGCAGAAAAACAGGGCTATAGCCTGGTTTCTACAATATCTGCTTTGATGTAAATTCAGGGAACAAGAGAGCGAGAATGAATACAGGTTAAGTGTTTTACATGTAGTTTGATGAAAAGATTTTATAGTCATAATAATAACCTCCTTCAAGGCAAGCTAATAAGAAGTTTGACAAGCAATCTTCTTCATTTTAAATATGCTATCCTCTTCTTACAATACAAGAATTAAAAATAAAGACTAAAAATAGTCTTAATTTAAATGGTCTCCTGAATTCTCAAGCAAGATCTACTGATACAAATGAAATCCGAGCTCTGGCACTATAATATCTTAGGTTATATTTAAATGTTAAACATTTTGAAGCCCATGTTCTTTATTAAATTACAGTTTTTGTTGACAAATTTGTCTGAAAAACTTCATTTTTCACTTGTTTCACCCCAAACTTGTAAGAAAACTATAAGTTGGGATTTATATGCAAGAGAGGGTAAGCTGTGCTTGACAAAAAAAAATGGTTTGTTTAAAGTATATATTTTATATACATCGAGGAGAGGAACTCAAAAGGCATTAACATAAAATAATGAAAAAGGGACAGAAATGTAAATCAGTATATACTATATACATGTACTGAGATATCACACTGTAGGCCATAAATATATATGATTATCATGTGTTAATTAAAATATTTGATTTGACCAATGTATCAGTTAATCACACTTGTAATCCTACCTACTCAAGAGGTTTAGATCTGAGGATCACAGTTCAGATGCAGCCCAACCAGGAAAGTCTATGAAACTTAGCGCTAATTAATCAGCAGAAAGCCAAAACTGGAGGTTTGGCTCAATTGGTAGAGCATCAGCTCTGAGTAAAAAAGTCAAGTGAGAGAGCTTGAGGCCCTGAGTTAAAGCCTTAGTACCAGCCAAGAAGAAAAAGAAAAATATTACAAATTACATAAAGAAGTAGAGATGTTTACTATCCCAGTTTGACAATTAACAATAGGTATATGTATCAAATTATCAGAAGTTACCCCATAAATTTGTATAACTAAAGTAATAATAAAACAGAAAGTAAGTCGAGATAAACAGCAATCATCCGTTATTTGAGCAGATAAGAAACAAAGCTCTACAAGCATTTCTAGAACTAGCCTTTGTCCTAACGTTGATTTAAGGGGAGAAGCTCATTAATTTCTTCTAAAGTAAACATGAATAAATATATACAATGGTTTTGCTTCCTAAAGCTTGAAAGCAAAACACAGGACAGAAAAACTATTTTATGCTACATAATGACCCAAATGACACTGTATGAGAACATTTTCAGTATCTTAAATTTTACACCAAGCATGATAGGTAGAAATTATTAATTAGCAATAGATACCATTTTCATAAGAAATTAATTTGCCTTTTCAACTGATATATATATATATATATATATATATATATATATATATATATAACACTCTCATCACTGAAATCTGCATTGATGACATATATACAACACATTTTATTTCATATCAGATGAAAACCAAAAACATGCACTCAAAAGCTTACCGAGGTGTACAAGTATCCCTCACTATTCATTGCCAAATACAGCTTGCTTTGAACTCCTTGAATAGCCACCACTCGAAGACCCACAGGGATAAGGTTAAACAGAGCTGAAATATGAAAATAATGTTACAATTCTAAATTTCAAACCCTTCCAATGTTTTCAGAAGAACTATTTCTCCAAAAGTAATGTATGTGTGGTAACTACAGACAAATTATACATAGATACACCTATATATATATAATATATATATATATATACACACACACACACACACACACACACATACATATTCAGAAATACACAGATAGAGGCTCATTCAGTAAACTTGACTTATGATTACAATCACTTAACTAGGCCTGTAACTACAAATTTTTTTCTTTCGGTTGTGGGGCATGAACTCTGGGCCTGGGTGCTCTCCCTCAGCTCTTCAGCTCAAAGCTAGTGCTCTACCACTTGAGCCACAGCGCCACTTCCGGCTTTTTCTACTTATGTGGTGCTGAGGAATCGAATCCAGGGCCTCATGCATGCAAGGCAAGCACTCTACCACTGAGCCACCTTCTTAGCTTGTAACTACAAATTCTTAAACACATAGGGAAAAATGGAAGATTTTTATCCCAGCGCTATAGTTTTGTGGGTTTAAGTAATGCTGTAGAAGAGGAATCAATTTGAGGGAAATCCTATACAAGGAACTAGTTTGTATGTTACATATTTCCTACTCTGTAAATGAAGGTTTTAATGTCTTCCCTTGGACAGGTGCTCAAACTCTACAGGCACAGATAAGATCTATTGGTTGGGTACTGAATCCTGGGCTTTTAGAAGGGATTCTAATCCAACACCCTCATCTAAATTATTAGTATCATTTCCAATGCAAATACCCAAAGTAAATCCAGGTCTTGAAGAAAATGTGATTTTTTGTTAGTACTATCTGTCTAAAGTAGTACTTTTTTTTAAAAAAAAAGACTTTTTCCAAGATAGGGTTCAGAGGGTTCCTAGCATTTCATCCTCAAGAGCAAAGGTCATAGGACTGAAAAATCAGGAATTTGACAAAAGCATATTCTATTATTTTTGTTTCCTACAAAACAGTTGCAAGTGGGCAGCTGATGGGTGCCAATGAGGCCTTCATTTCTCCATGTGAAGGTCTGACTTCGTGAAACTTACACGCAGGCTTCTCCGCACAACCACACACCACTCACTGGAGACAACCAGTGGGTGGCCTCCCACTACCAGCTGTCTACTCCCTCCCACATCGGGAATAAAAATAAAACAGCACATTTTTAAAACGTAATGCTTGCCACACACATTTTTTGAAAATAGCCTGTGCACCTTTCCCTCAAGAGACATAGACCAATGCTGATGATTTTTGCCTGGTTTTATAAGTTTATCAAGGGTTGAGGCTATTTCTATAAAGAATGTAAGGGGACCAATGCATTGGTATAAGGAGTTTATCTGTGATCACTCATACCTGTCTAGTATGGCTGCAAAAGGATAATTAAGAACTAAATATATCTTGGTGAACCCACCAATTTTCTTTCCCTTAAAATCACAGTGATACCAGAGAGAAACTGTACATACTGTACAGTTCAAAACATAAGGGTTCCTACCACATGGCACTGATGGTGCTTCATGCACTACTCATCATACTAAAAGCTGTATTTTTCTGTTTCTGTCAGGTAAAGGAAAGTAACTGAGCAGATTACAACTCTGGATTTCATTAAGCTATATCTGAAAAAATGCAATGCTCTGGCAAGAAGTTGACTGTCTCTTGAGCACATTATGTATATGTCCTATTTCTTTCTATGATGATTCTTTGCTCATAGCGTGTACACAATACATATTGTGGACTGAATGCAAAGTATATGATAAAAATGACCATATACTTAGGGAAAATAATATATCATAATACCATGATGTAAAATTGTCCACCAAGAGAAAAAAAATCTGACATAACACAAACTTCATATGAGTTTGGAAGCCATACCACTAAATGACACTTGACAACTGTAAAACGAACATTAGGCCTGAAACCTTATAGGAATACATGATGAAGAATCATAAATGAGATTTAGAATTCTTTCTAAAACTTCATTTTTACTGCTTTGAACCTTCTTAGTGATCTTAATAAAGCTTGTAATAGCAGAGTTAGGAAAGGAGAGGAAGGGAGAGAGGTAGAAAAACAGAGAAGGGAGGGAGGAAAGAAAAATGGTCAAACAGATGTGGGGGGGGAGGGAGGAAGAGACAAATAGAGATTTGATTTTTACTTTGTTCTCCAGCCACTCGCTAATTTGAGTATCAGTGAGCAATAAAATGTTTAAAATTTCTAAAATGGACAACTGAAAAAGGGAGAAAAGCCAAGAGTACCACAATCCATTCAAAACTGAAAGTGGAGCTGTGGCTCAAGTAGTAGAGTGCCAACCTTGAGCAGAAAAGCTAATGGGAAGGTGGCTCAGTGGTAGAGTGCTTGCCTTGCACTCAAGAGGCCCTGATTTGATTCCTCAGCACCACATAAGCAAAAAGAAAAAAGCTGGAAGTGACACTGTGGCACAAGTGGTAGAGCACTAGCCTTGAGATGAAGAGCAAAGGAACAGCGCCCAGGCCCAGAGTTCAGGCCTCATGAGCAACAGAAAAAAAAAAGGTAATGAACAGTGCCCAGACCCTGAGTTCAAGCACCAACAGTGGCACAATAAATACACACATACCCTAAATTACTATGAACCTGGATTCGAAAAAACAAAACCTTGAAGAAAGAGAAAAATGTGAAGTAGCTGATCATATGTACTTGATCAATATTTTCTTAAGATATTCAAAATGTATCACAAGTGGGTTGGCTTCAAATGTACCTAAAGGAGCATTATTTACACACAAAACTGCAAGAAATTTTACCCAAATTTATCTATGACAGAATCACTAACTTGGTTTCACTAAATCTAGGCACTTTTTCCTGGACTTAAATTTTACTTAGGATGAAAATAATCTCAATGCATGAAAAAATACAATTACTTACATTTGTTTATCTAAACATTCATTAAATACCTAAAATCTCATATTTTAGCCTACATTTATGCAACATTTATAATCAATAGAAGATCCCTTATGTCTTGTTTTGGTATTTTCTACTTGGAAAGGACCATTTTTCTTAGAGCTATGTATTTATTTGAACTCAGTGTTTGCTGACGATTATTCTCAAGCCATGCTCATGACTTGAAGCTAACGTCAGTTTCTCACAAAGATTAAGAAAACTAATTTTTAATGTATACTAGAGAAACTTGATATTTAGAACTCATAAATATTACTATAGGTTTGAATAGAAACAAACTATCCTTCCAAAATAGCTTTCATTGCATCCAAGGCAAATAAAATAAAACTAGAGCCATACAATGTTTATCTTCTTTCCATTTTCAAGGAAAAAATACATAATTTATCATGGCTGATTTGCTCATGATGAAATTTCATTGCACTGACATTTACCATTGAAATAAACCTACATAAAGATAAGCTTAAATGCAAAATAACAGTCCATGCTTTTAGGAATGGATATGTCTGTGCAAATGTGAAATGATTTGTTACCAATAATCTTATTCACAATATTGAACAAAACATTATATTAATGAGAAAGATGATACAAAGAAAAATTCAGGACAAAATATCATATCAGGAATACATGTTAAGGGACTCATATGTAAATGAATAATTGAATAAAAAACCTTTATTCTGGTTCTACTCACTTAACTAACTACAAAAATTATGTCAAAGAAAATTGCCTGGCTCCAGGGTGGAAAATAAGAATAAATTTTGATGGATAAACTTCTTTTTTTGACACATCAAATTAATTATTAATGGCTGGCCTCAGCCACAATATCCTCAATGGGAAAGCAAAGCTTCTGATCATTCTTGCATGAGGATTTGAGTTAAGTCCTACTACCTTGCTATTTGAGTTACTATTTTCCATTTGTATGCAGCATACTATGGAAATACTTACCTTTGGTTGACTTACCTGTCTTTGTTTTAATCTGCCCAATCACAGATTCTCATTATCAGCTTTTAGAGATCTAATAATATCATTAGTACACTGAAAAGCTCTTCATATCAGACATATAAGGCAACAAGAGGAAGAAGAAGCTCTGCATATGTAGGCATGGGAGAGTAAAACCTACTACATGAATTACATTCATACTAGAGCTGGCCACTGGTGGCTCATACCTATAATCCTAGCCAGTCAGGAAGCTGATATCTGAGGATCATAGCCTAGGTAGGAAAGTATGTGAGACTCATTATCTCCAGTCAACCAATGAAGAGCCAGAAATCAGCTGTGGCTCCAGTGGCAGAGAACTAGTTTTGATATGTATCTCCTAAAATGTTTCCACACAATGCGATCTCATTGGTTTTGCATATCACTGCTATTACTACCAACCTAATGAATCATCCACATTTTTTTGCCTTTTCAGGAAACACATATGAATAGTGGACACAAAATAGTTCTCTTGTTTAGACCCAAAAAAGATATTCACATAGATGGGGACGGGCACTGGTGGCTCACACCTGTAATCCTAGCTACTCAGGAGACTGAGATCTGAGGATGGCAGTTTGAAGCCAGCCAAGGCAAGAAAGTCCATGAGACTCTTATCTCCAATAAACTAATTGGGAAAAGCCAGAAGTGGTGCTCAAGGAATCAAGCACTAGCCCTGAAGAGGCTCAGGGACAGTGCTCAGGCCCAGAGTTCAAGCCCCAGGACTGGCAAAATATAGACAGGGAAAGACTGACTAGGTGGATTTCACTTAGATCTAATCATGACCTTCCTTATAATAATGACTAATATTTTCTTCAGGTGTTTCCTTCCCTAAAACCCCAATTAGTGCATATAATTTGGGGGACTGTGCTGTGACTGCTCATCATGCACTCATATCTGTTATTTGATTACAGTAAGGTGCTCTATTTACACTTGAGTAACTGTTTTAAACAGAAGAGCATGCATGGAAAAACAGCTAGGCTTCATTATAAAAATTTAATGTGACAATAGTAACACAACATTTTGAAAACCAGTGAAAAACCATTTCCTATATGGCTTCTTTATCTTAAGAATCAAGAAAATCTTCCTAAGAGGTAATGAATTATGACTTTCTCTTGAGGTCACAGCCTGGCCATCATCCTAAGAAACATTCCTAGAATGTGTGAAATTATTTCTTAATATCGGGACCCTTGTCCCAATAGCTTAGCCGTATAGTTCTGAGCCGGTTGCAAGGTCCTCATTAATCCCCCAGACCTACTTTTCTTGGCTTTTTTTAGAAAAAAAAAAGCTGACAAATAGATTTCAGAGAATTATCGAAGTCTGAGGGAAAGTAATACATAGCAGAAACCAGGGAATGAATTGTGAGAATGAACAATTTTAGCCACAAGGTCTGCAGATATCTGGGAATTGAAAAAACAAAAAACCTAGTAATTATTATCACTGAAGAGGAGGTTGCACTATTTGTGTTTGTTTTTATTTTTCCAAATAAGTGAAACATACACAGTCAGAGGTTATATAATGTCTCAGAATTATCTTTTTTCAATAACTTAGAGATAAACATTGTGCTATTTTTTTGATGAATTTCCTGTTTCGATTCATCATTGTGGTCTCCAGTTTGACCTTTACTTATACCATAGTTAAAAATGAATCACTAGATCCAGGTGCCGGTGGCTCGTGCCTATAATCCTAGCTACTCAGGAGGCTGAGATCTGAGGATCACAGTTCAAAGCCAGCCCAGGCAAGAAAGTCCATGAGACTCTTATCTCCAATAAACCACTAGAAAATCAGAAGTGCCACTGTGGCTCAAGCAGTACAGGTTCCCCTTGGGCTGAAGAGTGCAGGGACAGCGCCTAAGTCCAGAGTTCAAGCCCCACAACCGACAAAAAAAATCACTAAAAGAAACCCATTTACCCACCATGTTGTCTCAGAGAAGTGTGTGTGTGTGTGTGTGTGTGTGTGTGTGTGTGTAGGGGACAGTAGGAATGAAAGCTTGTAATGATGAATTCTCATGGCATGAAAGCACTCCTGCCTCCTGCCTCTTAGGATGAGAGTGGTTCTTAAGAGTAGAGATAACATGCTATTTCAGGATCAGTGTGTGGGTGAATACATTTTCTGTGGGAAAAAAATTAGGAAATCCAAAGGACAGTCATAAATCTATCTAGATTACCATGGGGATGACCCTTGGCTCATTCTTCAGATGGTGACAACATTATTTGCTGTAGTTTACTATTTTAGATATTTTTCTGTCTAGCGTCTTGTAGGTAAACTCATATAAACAGGATTATATGGCATAACCATATTTTCTACTTGCTTATGGGATTGTTGAGGGTTGCTTGCTTGACACAGAAATAAGAAGCACACAAAGCACCAACATACTGTCATATAACATTTATTTAGCAGTCACTTACTGTAAGTGCTGTCCTCGTCTTTGGTGCCATCAATGGTTCCATCTGCCTGCAGCTGCAAGTGGTAGCCTTGTCGGCTGTATAGTTTGGTAACTATACCCTTAAGTTGAGGCTCTGTTGAAAAAAAATAATACCTTGGATCAATTGATAAATTGTGCATATATACCCCCAAAAGACTCAGTAATCAAAATTCTTTCAGCTATAGATATTAATGGGAAAAGTGAAGTCTGAATGAAGTCTCTTTTGAAGAACCTTTAAGAAGCAGAAGAAAAACATACAACCAATTATAAGTTTTAGAATAAATGTCCAAACAACTGAAGAAACACTTGATTCATACCTCGCAACATTGATAAAGCCCTAGAGCTTCTGACAGCATCCAATGTTTCTGACAGCTTGTCCTTTGGCTTACAGAGTGGCACTCTACCTCATTGAACATTCTGAATGACTTGGCAAATGCATTTTCTTCCCTTTTTAACAATGTACCACTTTTCCGTCGAAGGAAAAGAGGGCATATAGAAATGGTTTTGAGTTGTTTGCCAACCAGGGGCCAAAACCCCACTAGCCTTTGCTACTGGAAAGGAAATAAAGGAACTAAAGAAATTTTTATTTCTTTAGTTCCTTCAGAATTAGCACACTTTGAATATATTATCCCTTCCATTCTAAGAAGGGTAAATATGCATAGCTAACCCATCAAAGGACCTAAGGTTTCCATACAAAATTAGGAGGAGGGAAAGATAAAACAATCATCACTGTCTCTTATATTAATTATGCTAAAGGAAAATGAATGTGAAGCATGGAGGGTTTTTTGTTGATGGGAAGGAAAGAAAATCAGTTCACATTTTCGAATTTAATATCATAAATACGATTACCAAAATGATGGGTTCTTCATTAAAATGATTTTCAATTATGAATCACCATGATTAATCAAGCACCTCATTTACCAATAACAGCCAAGTCATCCAAAATTCGCTTTCACTGAATACAGACACCTGTGCTGAAATGACATATGATTATTCGAGCCACACACCCGTGGTTCATTTAAAGCAGTTTTAAAACAAGCTTAATTCACAGCTAATGCGTTACAAAGTTTGTGCAAACAAGAAAGATATGTCTGCATTTCTATGGGAAGGGGTGGAACACGAAACAACAGATAGAGAAGTAAGTTTGGTGTGCTGTAATATCTAATAAATGGTGAAATAAAGTAGTTCAGAAGATTCGTTTTGGGTAAGGATGGCAAAAAACAACAACAACAAACTGCCTATTTCCTTGAAGGTCCTGCTTGACGCAACCTGACAGCTATAGCGATCGGAATCTTTTTTCTAGTTCTGGGAATCTCCTGGTACTCTTGATCAGCGAAATGGCTCCAAAAGACCCTCAATCTGGTGATGAGTTCAAGTTGCTTTTTAATACCAAGTAACCAGTTTTACTCGTTGAACCACGTCACCAAACTCTTTGCCGCAAGGTTCTAGCAATCGCCCCTGTACGGTTTCCCCAACAAACATTTCAAAGCTGCACCCCAAGTCAAGGATGTTCCCCCCACCCCAAAGCGTCGAAGTCATCAAAGAAATGCAATGCCTAGACAGCGCAAGTCCATTGTTGGGGAGGAGGAGGAAATGGGAAAAATCAGAGGGGAAGGGTCTGACTCGCAGAGATAAAGACAAGGGGATTCCCTGGGTTTTCCTGTGGGGGGAAGGGGAGATGTGGTGTCTTCCCCGCTCCGCTAGGGTAATTTGCACGCCACACAGGATAGCATGTGTGGGTCCTGCGCTCCCATAGCCTCCCGGTCACCCACCACACACGGGAGTCACACGTCTGAAAGCAAAGGTGCACGTTCCAAGGCTCCCAGCCCGTCCCGGGGCAGTTGCAATGCAGCAAACCTGTTAAGGTTAGCAAGGAGGCAAGAAAGCAATCGCCTTCCTAGACACGCACACCATCCCGGCTAGGGGGCACAAGATGGGCTACAGAGAAACTCACCTACGGTTGCCCGCCCGCCCCCCTCCCCCCATCCCCGCACCCTCGTAAAGTATAGGAGGCAAATGCAAAAGCCCGGAACCAGGAAAAAGATTTTTTTTAAATAAAATGCGAAAGCCTTTTCCGACCTGGTCTCCTTCTGCGTCTCTTCTTGGAGCCAAAGAGTTTCACCCGGGAAAAGACATTTAACTTGTTTTTGTCGCAGCTGGTCTTGCCTTTGCTGGGGCTGCTGACACACTTGCAGGCGTTGGATTTCTCGCGCTCGCGGGCTTGTCTCTTCTGACGGATCAGAGAGCTGGCGATTGCTGCCGCCATGGCCACGACGCCCACCACCACCACTTCTTGCGCGGCCCCTCTCTGGCTTCTCCTCCTCCTCCTTCTCCCGCTGCTGCTGCTGCTGCTCCGCGGTTCTCCGGCTGTGGCTCGTGCCTGGGGTGCCTGGGTCTCCTTAGCCTGCGCTGGCCCGAGCTGCTTCTTTGCACTCGGGGCTTCAGCCGAGGAGGGGGCTCAGCATGCCGTCCGAGCTCCTCTGGCGGTGGCTCTCGCCTTTCCGTGCGGGGCTGCTGGCTGCCTGGGTCCGAGCCGACGCCACAGCCCCCGCCCCCCCGGGCCGGGATGGCAGGCGAGACAGGCAGGCAGTGGCAGAGCTGCGGCGCAAGTGCGTGCGCTCGGCCCCTGAGCCCCGAGGACAGTGTGCAAGTCCAAGTGGCTCGGGTCGGAGTTTCGCGGCACCCCCCTCGCCTGGTGCCCGCGTGGAGGGGGCCAGAGGCGGGCGGAGGGAGAGCGTGCGGGCGGGCGGGAGAAAGGCCGGGAGCGCGGGCGGCAGGAGGGAGGAGGGAGGAGGCAGCGCGCGGGGGAGCTCCCTCACCCTGGCCCCTCCGCGTCGGCCACTAGTCCTTGTAACTTCTTGGCCTGCTAATCGGGAAAAGTTGGCCCGTGCCAGCTTTCCGCCAGGGATCAAACAGGTAATGGCCTCGCATCCTGGCTGTTGCTGCTGCTCTGGGCGCGGCACCGTCGCAGCACTGGAATTCCGTCGCTGCAGGCGCCCTCCACAAGAGCGCAACCTCCTCCCCGGCCCCCTCCCTCGCCGGCGGCCCCTCCCTCCCCGAGCCCCGCTACTGGTTCTCAGCTGCTGGCCCACCCCCCATCCGCCCCACCCCCCACCCCCACTCCCCTGCTGGTCGCACCCACTAACACCTGTACAGGCTTAAGCTTTATCCGAGCACACCCAAATCTTCTCTCATTTCCCGCCCGCCCCCCCCCCCGCCCTGGAAGGAGCTGCGGAAGGGAACAGTGATGGAGGACGAACCAGGATGAGGTAGTCAGAGGGAAGGGGGTGGGGGGGTATGCTATGCTTTAGGGCGGAGTGCAGCAGAGGTAGGGGGTGGTCCTTCAGTGTTTCCTCGTTATATCTGGACCAAAGCCCCAGGAACTTTTCCAGATCTCTGCCCCAGTTCACCGATACCTCCTACCCCATCCCCCCACCCGCTGAGCTATTTTGCTTGACAACACTTGTAGCCATCCAGAGGACGAGGGCAGGACTCCTAGACAGGCTCAGCACCCCCCCCACCCCCCCACCCCCACCAGGAGACAGTGGCAGCAGCCGGCACTGCAGAGCTGCGCCCGCACACCACGCTGCCACCCAGTGGTTTTTACTGACTTTTCATTTTATGCCCATGTATAAGATCCCAAACCCGTTTCCCCTGGGAGTCCTGATGTGACCATTTGTGTTTTGGATTCGTGCAGACGACATGGGTCACCTACCACACCACTTCACTTAAGGTCTCCTTATTTTTTTTTTTCCTTTTTATTTCTCTACTTCTCAGATTCAGACAACCTCCCACCCTCCACCCTCCGATTCCAGAATCTTTTGCTGCTTCTATCTAGTCACAAGTTCTTGCCTGTCCTAATGCACTAAAGAGAACCTTCCATCCACATCTGTACCTTAGAACAGACACATTTGTTTAACCATTTTACTTGATCACTGATGCCAAACAGGAAATCCCAGATAATAGAGCTGCCACAACACTCCTACATTTTTTTTACTAGACTCCTTCCTCTTCTTTCTGGATTTTTCTTTTTGAGCTTATCCCTAAGACTCTAGCCCTTTGTAGTGGCCTCATGAGCCCTAAGCCCAGCCTCAGCAAAATGGAAACCCATTCAGAGCTCTTTGACTAGGAGAACAGAATCACCTCAGCCTTCAATGGGAAGCCTGAGTTTACAGGAGATGCTTCTGCCAACTCCCCATCCCCTCCTCCCCAATCTGCAGGTGCAACTTGATACATCAGAAAGGGCCACTATTGTGTCTTGGCAAGGCTGAGTGAAAGCTGCAAGATAGATAATTACAGAATGAGAGCAACCAAAGGGAAATGCCCTGCCTACACCTTAAGAGCTTTTGAGCTTTCCCAAAAGAGGTGCCTTACATCCCGATGTGTTCTAGCTGGCCCTTCAATGCCTTGATAGACTGGCTCTGGTTCCTACTGTGGTCCATACTGTGGGATGGAATGGATCCTTTCTCACCTTGTGCTCAACACCCACCTGAAGATCCCTTGTTTGCTTTCTTTCCCTTCCCTTTTGAGACCCGAAATCAGAGCAGGCTTGAAAAAGCGGAAGAATGAAAAGGGCTCCACTTTGGAAAGAATGAGAGCCTGGTATTGAGGCATCAGGAAGGCTTCGTCGCATTACTGTTATCTTGTATTTCAGAGGAGCTCTCACCACTTGCTCATTGTCACACTATCCCAAAGGCATTTTCAGATACCTGTAAAATTACAGGTATGGCCACCCTGTGGTGGATAATAGAAGTAAATCAACTTCAGAGATAGATACAGAGAAATGGAGCCATTTAAAGGCACAAAGTTGCAGACAGAAACATGTTGCTATTCCCTACCAAGCACCCAGAGCTTTTTTCAGATAGAGAGCTTAATCTATGCCATGAACTCACTAAATCACTGGATCAAAGTTGACAATATGATGATTATACAGCTTATTTATACATGCCTTTCTTTTCAATCATTTTTTATAAAATGTATTCTATTGACATATGAAACCATAAACATTATACATATTAACCGTGTACAATGTAACAGTTCTATACATGTATACACTGCATAACATTTATATCAGGTTATCTATCTATCCATATCCTTATAAATTTATTAATTCCTTATGGTGAAAACGATCACAATCCTTCCTTCCTTCCTTCCTTCCTTCCTTCCTTTTTTTCTTTCTTTTTTGCTCAGTCCTGGGGCTTGAACTGTGGGCTTGGGTGCTGTCCCTGTGCTCTTCAGCTCAAGGCCAGTAATCTACTGCTTGAGCTACAGCACCACTTCCAGTTTTCTAGTATTTTATTGGAGATAAGAGCCTCCCTGGACTTTCCTGCCCAGGCTGGCTTTGAACCGTGATCCTCAGATCTCAGCCTCCTGAGTAGCTAGGATTACAGGTGTGAGCCACCAGCACCTGGCTCACAATCCTTTATTGATACTTTCTGAAATATCGTTGTTGTTCTTGTTAGCTACAATTACCCTCTTGTGGTCTAGAGCATCAGAGCTTCTTTCTCCTAACTGTAGCTTATACCCATTGATCAATCTCTCCTCAATTAACCAGAAAAATACAGAATATAAGGGGAGCCATTTTGTTTCTTGGCCCCTAAAAGGTACTTCTTTATATCGCTAAAAGGTACTTCCTTTTATATCCCTAATAGGTACTTTTTATATTTCTCCCTATTTTGAACAGGAACATAGCTGATATGTAATTGTTGAGATTAGAGAAAGGGTATGTAACTTTCTGCTGTCTTATTACAGACTACATATACTCTCCTCTCACCTAAAATAAGTTTTATTGGCCTATGTCTAGAGAATAAATTCAATCCATAGCATAAAGTGACAAAATACCATTTTGAATTTGGATCCATTCAAATAATATTATCCAGTCAGCTTAACCCTTAATAAAGCAAATACTTTCATGCTTTCCTAAATCTCAAGTCTATTTGCCAGGTGTTTAGAAACTCAGAGAAGAATGTGAATATCACTTTCAAACCCTCAAAAGGTACTTTACCAAAGTCCTTTCCATGTCAAAAAGCCATAAGGAATGAAGATTGTAGAGCATGCTAAAGGAAAAAAAATTACTTTTTCTTTCTTCCCTGTTGCTTCAAACTTATAGAATGGTATTTTAATGTGAGGAGGCATAAAATATCTTTTTTGACACTTATTTTCAAAATTCTCCTTTATTCCTAACAGTTACGATGGGGAGTTTCAGGTTCACCTCCACATCAGACTTTCAATGTTCTCTATTCAACCTTGGAACTTCTGCTTTTGTTAGGATAGATGGGTCCCCTCTCCTTTGCTCTCAGCACACTTCCTGTTCCCCTTGTTATATGGTCCACTCAAGCTTCTGCTTGACCATGTTCAGAAAGAATTCATTCTTAGCTCCCTTCTCCAATTCCTCTCCTGGCTGGCAGGAGAGGTATGTTTTAATCCTATTTCTACCACCGACTGTGTGGCTTTTGGGTCTGTCATTCTTCCTACTGCGCGTCTCAGTTATTCCCATCTTTAAAGTAATGCTTTGATAATAGTAGTGACTTTCAAATTGTATTCTTCAGCTTTCTAAAGCACATGAGCATGTGATATGAGTTCGCTCGCCAGTGTTTCAACTATATCACTGCTGCTTTTATCTATTCCTTATGCGGTGGTTCATTGTATGATTTGTAGCAAAAATAAACTAAGAAAAGATTCCACTACTAAAAACATTTTTGAAAGCTGCTGGATGAGATGTTTCTTAAAGTCCTTTGGCTCTGGGAGTCTATGATGATTTTGCACAGATTCCTGATCCTCCCATCTTATCTTTCTCTTCTCAAGCCTTTAATGTCTCCATTCCTTTCCTACCTTACCCCCCCCCAAAAAAAATCTCACTTGAATTCGAAAGAAAAATACAAAGTCCTTTCGACTCCATTTGCCATTGAGTTCGCTTGAGAACTGGGGTTTAGCTTTTTTTTTTTTCAGAGTTATGTGAGTGAGTTATCAGAGCATAGAAAGAATGCTGATTGTTCTCTGTCAATCTCTTTTGGCAAGCTTTAGATGAGCTGTAAGAAGCTGAAGGGACCCACTCTCAAGAGACATTTCTAGGAGGGAGATAGAAACTCAAACAGATGTGACTGTGATGAGTAAAAACGAAAGAAATCCGACAGCCTAATCAAGAGCAGTCTCTGTACCTTTTGAGCAGGAAGGAATTGGCTGTCTTTCTGAAACTCTGTAAATGAGAGTTTTCAAACATTGTTCCATCGTGAATATAAACATAAACATTGCCACTTGCCAGTTTGTGCTTTATCTCCACCAATGGCTCATCAGAACTTCTGAATGGCCAGTTACCAGGTCAAGGACTGATGATGAGCTCAAAGGCAGGGAAGGAGGTCAGGTTCAAGTGCAGCAGTCAAGCAAGGCTGTACAGCCGCCATTCACTGAGTAAGGCAGCAGGGGGAGTACTTAAGAGATGAAGCAGCAAGTAGCACTTTTGGTAGTCTATCGAATTATGTCCAAATGCTCAGAGAAACAACTGGATAGAAATACAAATGAGGAGATTAGAGGAAAGTCATTAGAATAGGCTTGTGCCACTTAACTCCTAGCAGGAAGAAACTTTGAATTGAAGGAGATTTTGTCAATGTCACACTGGAATTCTAGGGAAAGACTATTGTAGTTTGTAACATAACATGTTTATTAGCTCCCAAGAGTTTCTCCTAGTCAGATCATTTGAGGGAGTTCTACTTCAGAAACAAAGGTCTCCAGAATCAATTTCTTTGTAATTGATTGGCTCTCCTGATTTGTATTCAGAATGAAAAGCCATAGGACCCTCTAGGATTGCTTTGCACTGGAATAGATGCTTGTTTATTGTGTCCTCTCTCAGAGATCACTCTCTAAATACATAAGCTATAGAATTTACTGCAGTCACGTCTGATTTATATTTAAAATCAATTTAGAAAACATTCATCAATTCTATCTTTAAAAACAAATATCTTAAAAA